GGAAAAAAATTGCTTCAATTTTATATTATTTTATTAAGTAGTACGAGTATTTTGTTATCCATGACCATGGGATCTGGGGGTCTACTATCGATCTCCGTCCGACATCCGTCCGAAATAATTACTGCCAAATAAGCAATACTAGACCAAATGAAAAGACGCGTGATGCGAATGAAGCTTCATACTGGATACTTGTCTTTTAATTTTGTCGAATATTACTTATTTCACAGTAATTGTTTCGGACGGATGGCGGACGAAGATCGAGAGTAGCCGCCCCTGTAACAGGCCTAAAAAGTTGAGTTGTTTAAAAAAAATAACACGATAGATCCCAAAAAATAGTTTCATTTCCTATGTGTAACAATCGCCAAAACTTAAGAACTTGTTGTATATTTATTTATCAAAACCTATTACTATTTATGACCCATCAATTGAAATGGACAGCTATTCATAAACTTCAGTTTTACTATCAATTTACGACTTGCTAACTATACACAGTTTGAATAAGACAGCCAACTATTTTAAGAACATTAAATACATTAAGTGCGATCAGCGAAATTAAAGTCTTACCAGTACATACTAAAACCATATTGTTTGCAAGCTGAGAATAAAGCAGTCCTCCCTTAGTATTTAGCTTGTGCAATTGTAAAATTTTTCGTCTGTCGGGACAAGCTAAGGGTAAATTAGTCATTCTGCCAGATTTTATACCAAGACATTAATTTGTTTTTTTGAAAATCATGAAGAAAAAAAGTGCAAGTGCTTTAAGCCTCGACTTGCTATCAGGACCGATGTCGCCTACAATCACACATTCTTAATTTGAAACACTATAAAATCTTAATATTGACTGGTCGTAGTTCCAAATTTAAAATGAAATAACAAATTCTGGATCGTCAATGCTATTAAACTTTACCCTGTTGGTACATCGTGGAAATATGTATAAATATATTATTGCAAGCAATTACACATAAATAACATATTATTGCAAGTTACGACGTTTAGGTAATATATTGTATATACAACTGCCTCAGTGGCCGAACGGTTACCATGCCGGACTGCCACGCAGAGGCCCCAGGTTCGATTCCCGGGCCGGGAGAAATATTTGTATGGCCTATATTTATTTGTGGTTGTCTATGTGTGTGTCCATGGCACCCGCGACACAGAGTTTCCCTAGTGCGGGGCTATGTTGAGTGTGTGCGTTATTATTATTATTATTATATTGAAATTTCTAACAATGTGCTGCCATCTAGCGGTTAATTGCTGAACGACGATGAATTGGAATTATTAATTTAGTTCTCCAATAATCTCACTACAGAGTACTAAAAAAACCGACCTCAAAAGTACGTGGAATTACATCTATTTGCCAAGTTTTATTGAAATCGGTTACCGGAAAGCAAACCCGGATTCAACCCCTAGTTCGCCAGTATACGGGACTTGACATAGGAGATAATAAAAATCGGTTCTCACTACTCAAAGTATATTGAGAGAGAAATACGCCTATAATTGGAAATTAAAATCAACCATTAAAATAATTGGTTCTTATAATAAAATTTAGGCGCTATTTATAAAAATGAATCTTCGTGTGTCAACAGCCACCCTTAGAGGTGGATGATTTTCTTCAAAATTTAATGGGACCACTATGGACGTACCCTCTTTCCAACAAAAAAGAATCATCAAAATCGGTTCACAAATACCGGAGTTATCGGGTAACATACATATAAAAAAAATATATGGTCGAATTGAGAACCTCTTCGTTTTTTAAAGTCGTTAAAAAAGAAGAGAGTATTTACTTTCGCTTTTTGTAACAAAAAATGTCGATAAATATATAAATATAAATATATTTTTCCGGATTTTTTTTTTGGAAAATTGCCAATTTTTGTATAGGCATTTTTTTAGGATTTTAGAGAATTTGCACGAAATAATGACCATACCATACAAAGCGAAAATGGCAGAGTGAGCTGAAGTAGGTCTTTTGAGACCTATAGTTGGCACGCGTCAGGCGGTAACTAACCACTTCTACTGTATTTATTGTTCGGCGATGAAAATGCTCCTACTACAATTTGTTATAATTATTATCATGGACCAATAACTCAAGAACTCTGCTAATCGCGATACAATACAGCGTAGTCGGTATTTAGTACCTGTTGGTCCACCTAATGTCGCGACGATTACCAAATAGCTATTTTTGTAACTACAGTACCAGGACGCTTATGATGGCCGTTTTGAAGTTTCTCCGCTCATCAAGTTTCGTATTAAATAACTACGTTGAAGGAGCTAATTGCTGTACATTGTTATCAATAGTGACTTGCAATGAAATTTATGGAATGCATAATTTTACGACACAACTCGGCATTTGTTTTTCAAAATTTTTGAAAATGAAATCTAATAAGAAATGTGTTAAGTAAACATTTTTATTTTCGTTTTATTAAAACTTTATAATCAGCTACCCCTTGCAATACTAGTTATAAATCTAAAAAGTTATAGATGCGTCTCGCATTTGTATACATTTTTTTCGATAATGAATTGAGATTTGTCCTCACTATTGTAATCTGTCAAAACAGCAACCACAGCCTGCCTGCAATTCATCAAAGCTATTCTAATTTCTAGTGATAACAAACAGATCAACTAGATGGCGCTTATTTCACAGATTTGTATGGCTATTCCTTTTTGTTTAAGATTAGCGCCGTCTACCCATATTATCAAGCGGCAATGTTATAATATAGTTTTCACTCTTAAATCTCATGCTCTTAAAGTTCGCATTTATGCTGGTTGTAGGCTGCATAAAAAAGGATTTAATATATAAATAACTCGTTCTCACACCGTATACTAACAGTGCATATCCTCAATTTTACTACATATTTTTTCTAAAGTGATCGATTCAACAGTTTCACTGTAATGCGGCATCAACCAATGCCATATGAGGTTATATAGACTCTTAACACAAAGACAAATTCACCCTGTAGACAAATTTGCTTTGCTCAAATTATCATGAAGATGATGTTGACTTGAATACAAGATTAATATAATTTGAAATTTCATTCAAAAACGTCTACGTAAAAGAAATATTTTTTTCACAGATTTTAAATTGAATGAATATGTGATTGATTAAAATACAAAAATTGTGAAGTGCTAAATTAAAATGTTCATTTGTGCTCTACTGCCTGTGAAAACAGCCGACTTTATACGGAAAATGGTAAGTTTAACTTTAAATAAATGCAAATATCGACAATGAAAATAAGACCGTTACAGGAGATGGCCGTTTTGACGTTTGTCCGCTCATCAAGTTTCGTATTAATTCACAACTACGTGGAAAGAGTTAAATGATGTAAATTAACACTCGCTACTCAGAGGAGATATATTCACTTATTTGGACAATACATTCTTTTTTAATAGTCATTATTGCGATATGTGGTTAACCCTTTCATTGTCAGTAGGTACTTAAAAAGCATCGCACAAAATACTATTTGTCTTACTGTAGTGCTTATATTGATTCAATATATAACGTACAATGTTTGTAAATGTACAATTTTGTCAGTACGTTGTTCATACTTCCCTTATAGAGAAGCACATTACATACCATACACCTAAAACACACCATACTTACGATACACCTATTCAGTAGCACACGCAACTTATAAACACTCATTCATCCATTCATCCTCACTCGTTACATATCGTGAGATCATTAGAGTTAAATTTTAGAGGTTCTAAATACTTTCTTTAGTACACTAGTTTTATAATAACTTTGGAATATTTACGTACTTCAATCAATTTTTCGTATCAAATAAATGCGCCCTCAAGCCAGTAGAGATCCCTATAGCGAAACGGGGTACCCCGTACTATCATAATCTAATGTTAAATTTTACGGCAAACGCCGTTACTGTATTTGAAACCATAATTACTTTCAATCTATTTGGACAATGTACTGTTGTTAACCCGAATATAATAAAATAAAAATAGACTCGAATAACGCTCGTTTATTAATAAAGATATTAGTTGATACTTAAGTAATTTTACTATCTACAAAAGTAGAACATATTACAATGACACGAATTCTCTCCATTCATAGTGTCAACATGTCAACGGTAATATTGATATCTTTTTTGTACGGTGTGTGGTTTCTTAATAGGTTGTTTATTTAAAAGTTGATAACGTTAATAGTGTTGTTAAGTTGTTAATATGATATTATTTTTGTTTTCATAATATTTTATTTAGTAATCCAGCTATCGCTTTCACTCGACACTATATCATCATAGTCGTTACTTAGAGCGGAAATGTAATTTAATTATTTAATATACTAATTTTATTTTGTTTGAAAATGATTATGTCAGGAAACTTCTATGCTCTGAGACTTTAAAATGATATAATTAATTCAAAATAAGCTTTCGCTAGTCAGTTATATAGCATTCAATGCAATAATCGATCTCCTAGTATTATTGTTACTCATGTTACAAATATTGTTACGGCACTGTGCTTTTCTATATATCTCTACTTCTCGACGTAACCTATTTATTGATTCGATTTCTTTGTGGATCTGTTGTTAAACAAACATATTTTCTATTAGTCAGTCATTGCTTTTTAATTTATATTGAACGTCTGTAGGCAGAAACAAAACCCAGACACGTTGTCATACTCGTTTAAATCGCTGCCACGCCGGCTATTGTTCCGAACCCTACACTGCTATAATATTCACCACGTTATTCTCTACAGTCTTCTAAAGTTATCTATGTTTGTTCAACATTGCGTGTTTAAAACGGGAGTATTGAATTCACTGTGTAGTGAGAGTAAAGAAGAAAAGCAATGTATGATGAGTTGTAAAAAGTGGTTATGTTGACAAGAGTTGCCTGTTAAGAGAGCGGATTACTCGTCGGCTCTTGTAGACGCGTCGCGGAGAGGGGAGCGAGGCGACTGGCGGTGAGCGAGAAAGACAGCGATAGGCCGAAGCGAGCGCGGGAGCGGGAAGCGTTGCGCAGTGGGGCGCGACCCGCTCGTTCGCTCAGTCTCACGCCGCGCGTCGCTGTCACCACTCGCTGACGCTTTCGCCGCCATCATGACCCCACCCAAAAAGCAAAAAGGCGTTCGAGCTAAAAATATGGACAAGCTAATCGCCGCTGTCCAAGCAAGAGAATGTTTATGGGACAAAAACTACCGAGGCCACAGAAACAGATTCAAACTGGAGCGGTATTGGAACGAAGTAGCAGCGGAAGTCGGCACAACTAGTAAGTACGTGTATAGCGTTTCCCCGAGCGATTGTGAAGGTTAATGGCCGGACGGGCCGCCATCTTTGATATGTTTGTTTTGGTTTGAAACAGCGCGCTGGAAAATATGTTTGGAAAACGCCGGTTGTTTTCGTTTCAAAATTCGTTTGTTGCTTTTAGTACTTAATTCTGTTACAAACGCAAATCATAATTAGTAACTAACGTGTAGTTACCTTGTTAATAAGTAGATTACATTAAATAATATTAATATACCAAATAATCTCACCAAAAGTAGAGAATTCTCTGCGCTATGAGCGACGGAATTTACTCCGGGAAACTACGGGAACACTTCAAAAAGTTAATTTCTTAAATTGGTCCTACCGGGAATCAAACCTGGTGCTTATTAATCCAGCACTCTTTTTACAAATTGTTCGCATAATTGAAATCATCATAACAATTTATCTTAAGAAATTATGCGTAAAATTATAAAACCATCGCGCATTGATCCCTTTCTGCTGTCGTAGTCTTTTTCGCTTGATGCAGTTAGATTACCTTTTTCAGTAGGTAGTCAATTGAAACTATGTCGTCTGGCGGCCTTGTCCGGTTTCCACTACGTAAATAATGCTTTAATAAGGAATTCATTGTTTTCCTTACAACGATATCATTAAGAGGCTTACATTGGCTTAGACTTTAGAATACCTATAGCGTGTTGTACTATATATTTAACGTTATTACATTGAATTCCACGCGGAAAAAAGTTACAGGAAATACGTACTTTAAGTTGGGCACAAACAGAATAAAGAAGTAAATAAATCTATACACCGGGGAAGAAAGGGCCTAAACACCAAACTACACATTTTGGAGGACTAGTGACATTCGATTTATAAACTTTTTAAACCGATTTCAAAAAAGGAGGAGGTTCTGAATTCGACTGCATCTTTTTTGTATGTGTGTTATGCTATCATTTGTGAACCGTTTTGACGAGTATTTTTTTGTTGGAAAGAGGATACCTCAGTAATGGTTCCATTTAAGTTTCAAGAAATATTCCACCGCTAAGGGTGGCAAACTAAGGGATGAATGACTTTTGAAGTCGATTTTTTAGTACTATGTGCTGATTAGTTTATATATTTTTTATTTAAACGGTGCTATTTTTGAAATACTAACAACCTAGATTACTGACGTAAAGTTGCCTGCTTATCGGTATTTTACAGGATATATCACGGAGAGTGTGCGATGGAATTACACGAATTAATTTCGTCTTCCCCTTTCCATCACCGGGGGACTAAGCGTAGGTTTGGGTTCCACCCCTATGTTGTGGACATTCCAAAGATTCGCACGAAGCGTTACGCCTTCACATTTGTATGGCGAACGGCTATGGAGTGCAATACCCTGCCTGCAGACTTGTTCCCTGAACTTGGGCCTTTTCAAGGCGAGAGTGAATAGGCATTATTTAGGTGTGCATGCTCCATCGTCGATCTCATCGTCACTTTCCATCAGGTGAGTTGGAGGTCAACTGCACGCTTATATTTTATTAAAAAAAAAACGTATATGTAACTTTTCCGTGACTTTTGACAAAACGTAATAAATTTACCAAACAGATGCTTTTAAGTTTTTTTGTACTATCTAACACTTTTTACACCTGGATTTGGTTGTAGGGGATTAGTTCAAAACGTGCAAACGTCTTCTCCGACGACTCCCGCGTTTTGCACAAAGTTATCGCGTTCAGAGCCATCTCTTATTTTAAATGTGTTTATTTTTATATGAAAGTAAAATAAGTCTCATCATTATCATTTTCTAAGTTTAAAACTAATATTACAAAATTTTAGACTACGTGTTAGACAAAGATGTATGGTAAGACAACATGAGTCTAGATTCCACACAAGTACGATTCATAGTTTATTTGAAAAGAGCAATCCCTAGAGTTTCTTGCTCGTTATTCTCAGGGAAGTTAGCGTAGTGAACGAGCAGTAGCTTCAAAAGTTACGTTTTCAATTGTATAAATTTTACATATGGAATAAATGATTATTTGATTTTGACTCATGGAACAAAACTTTGTTTATGATGTTAGTAATACAATCCTACGGGGTTATTAGTTATTTTATGAATAACCCTGAATAACAACGGTGTTAATATAAAATAACCTTTCTGGCGAAGAACTACATTCTGAGTAGACAGGTAGGATCATGATAGTGAGGGAGATGCTTCGATGGTTTGGTCACGTAGAAAGAAATGTTGGTTGATTGACATCACAAAATAGAGCGAATGTGAATGGAGGCGTGAGGATGTCCTTAGAAAAGGCCGGGTTAAAATAACAAGAATAAACTGATGATATTATGAAGAGACAGACAGAGGCGAAGGAGGTTTGTCTGTAGTGTAGCAGGTGGAGGTCCATGGTCGCTGCCTAACTCTTTTTTGGAATAAATTCACTTTAAGCTCTTTCTTCCCCGAAGTATCGAAATACGAAGTAATATTCACATTAAGGAGGTGCGCAGTTAGTACTGAAGTTCCATATTATCTATGGAAACTCGACAGCTTTTTAAAATGTAATTAGAAAGTGTACGCACACTAAAATCCTTGTTCTTAAACACTAACACTACCAACCAAAGAAACAAAACTGCGGCTAATCCAAGCTCTGACATTTCCAGGCATAAACTGCAGGAAGCGATGGAAGAATCTCAAAGACCAATGTCGGAAAGAAATAAAGAAAAACCCGAACGAATCCGAATGGCCGCATTTCCAGAAACTAAGCTTCATTCACAATCAGTTCCTGGCCGAGGACGAGGACGGAGATGTAGATACAGCCGATGAGGTCTTTAACTCCTTGGACGAGTCCATTAAAACACCGAAATTAGGTAGGTTTCGTATTACAACTATTTATTAAGAGTAGTTGCACACGGCGACGTGTGATACAGTCGCGCGTTTGCATCGCTGTTTAAAATCGCGCACGTGTGTGTAAAGGTAGATGATTAACGTCTGTATCGCTACTGTATCGCGTATATCGCTCTAAGATTTACACTTACTCGATATTATGACATACATTTAAAGGTAAGATAATGTCATAGCTAAGAGATGGACAAATCTATTCCATTAAAGACTTATTTACATAAAAATCTCAAAAAATTTGATCATTTAACATAAGAAACATAAAAAATATTCTTTAATTTTAAAAACTTATAATTTTGGTCAAGTATAAGGACATTATTATATCGATACCTCCAATAAACACTTCGCCAACTTTCTTTTTTGTTCATTATCTGTTAGTTTGTAAACATCCATATAATAATATAATAAAACTGGACACATGGCTACTGTTGCTTTGGAGAATCGTTGTACCGTGAATAGAGATTGGTACACGGCCATTTGTTTGCCGGAAGTTATTGACAAACTCCGTAAAAATAACCGTAAACGCCGTGTCATCTTGCACCACGATACTGCCAGTTCTCACACGGCCAGACAGACTAATGAATTTTTGAATGTGAACAACGTTGACCTTGTGAGCCATCCCGCGTACAGTCCCGACCTGGCACCTTGTGACTTTTATTTATTTCCAAAAATTAAGAACTAGTTACGCGGTTAACGATTTTCATCACCTGAAGAGGCTGTCGAAGAGTATGAAAAATATGTTTCAGAGATTGTCACGGAGTAGTGGCATAAATGTTTTCAAAATTGGTTCATTTGTATTAAAAAAGTGCATTAACGCTAACGAGAATATTTTGAGAAACAATAAATTCATTTCTGCCCATTTATAGTATTTTTTTCTCATTCATTTCGGAACTTACGGTGCGCCCCACGTATAATAATAATAGTTCGATTTATTCATAATAATTATTGTTTTTTTTTAATTTTAGGTTACACAATGCGTAAAAAGTTACTAATGAACAAACGTCGAACGATAGACGTGGATATGGACAAACTAATAGACCTCGTTCGGACGAGGGAGATCATATGGAACAGACAGTTGAAGGGGCACCACAATTGGTACAAATTGGATGAGAGCTGGAAGGAAATTGCGTTGGAGTTAGGAGTTACCCGTGAGTATCAATTTATTATATTAATTTAATAATATACAGTAAAATAGTTTCATTTCCTATGTGTAACAATCGCGAAAACCTAAGAACTCGATATGATTTATATCTGTTTTTTGTCTTAGTCAGCCGTGAGCCTGAAAACCTGAAACGTTGGTTAATTTAAAAAACCAAATATAACGCAATTTAGATTCGAAAAGAAAGAACCGTGCTGCCTAATGATTTGCCCTACTGCCCCTCGAGCAGAGACCGTGGGTTCGAATCCGGACTCTCATTTCGAGTGGTTTCAGAATTTACGACACCAAATGTGCGACATTTAATTTGAAAATTATCATGAGTTTTACGGCGAAGGAAAACTTAGTGACAAAACCTGCTCGTTGAAGAAGGTTCACAACCCTCGGATAACGTAAGAAGTCCTCTACCCGCATTAGGCCAGCGTGGCGGACAATGGCCTAAACCCTCGCCAAAGAGAAGACCCATGCCCAGCAGTTGGGACGTCTATGATGATCACCAATTTTAAAAACGACTATTTGGCTTTTAAATAAACTTTCCATATAATTTCAGGGGACGAAGCCAGACTCAAATGGAAATATCTTCGAGATCAAGCACGAAAGGAGGTCCGCAAACATGATTCAGAATGGGAATTTTTGCCAAAACTACAATTCTTAACGAACCAATTCAACGATTACGAAGGCCCTGACCTCCAAGGTCAGGACGACACGTTCAGCCAAGATTATGATGATCATCATCACGATGACGATCATAATGATCAAGGCGCAAGTTATTATGTACCTGAATCCACTGCAGTTGATGAAGACACAGTCAATGCAAGTGTCAAAGATGATGAGTTTGACGAATTTGACACGAAACCTGTAATTATGGAGACTGACTTTTATGACGATGATGATGAAGGGCAAAAGAGCGTTGGAAATGGCCACGAACTTGGTGATCCTGAAGCGATAACTAAGGATGAAGATGTAGGATTCTTCAACAGTTTATTACCACACGTAAGGAAGCTAGGACCTGCTAAGAAATTGATGTTGAGAATGAAAATACAGGAGTTGGTTTATAATACTGTATATAATGAAACTTAATTTGATCTAGCGTTAATACGTTTGCAAAGACAATTAGAAATCAGCTTGAAACAAACTAGAAAATGATTGAATTTTCTATAATTTCTTTCAATTTTCTTTAAAATTAAATTGAACAGGCGTCTTTTTACTTTCATGCAGGTCATATTGTGGATATACGTGTGCTTATTTCTAGTAAAAAAACAAAAAGCTAGACACAAAAATAAACAGTGAGCTGATTATTGAGATGATCTCGTTGGCCTACATTCGCGCAAACGCGCTGTATGCGGAGGTCCCGGGTTCGATTCCCGGTTTTTCACTTTTCTAAATCAGTTCTGGTGTGTTCTGGGGAATGCTCCAGAATGAATTCCGTTACTCTGTTACTTATAGTACAGGGAATTCCCTAGTTTGAGACCAGGCAATTAGTGAGGTTATCTGGCACATATTATTATTATCTATCTGTTTTAGACTCTCGCCTCTCCCTTGGCCTAAAAGATTAATGTTGAATTTTTGAATGAGAGAATACCGCCGTATTCCCGCCAATGTACAGTCGGCCGGGGTCAGGGGCTTATTATTACTGCCAATAAAAAACGTTCTGGTTCCCTACCATCTATCACCTCTGGAGGCGTACCTACGTATGTATTTGAATAAAGAGTGTCGTATTCTTAAGGACAAGTCATTAACGTGTAATGTACCTTGTTTTTTTAAAGTGTTTATATAATCTAAGCTACAATGTATGATAATAGACATTTTAAGAATTTAAGATAAAAGGTATTTTAGATGTTTCGCTAGTTTTACATTGCGCCGTGTTTGCCTATAACTGTATCCACATTAGTTTGTTAAAACTATTAATAACAGTAAAGAATTTGTACAAAGCTTATTTTTTTAAAGATCGATTTCATATTGCTTATAATAAATCTAATAAATCTAATATAATAAATCAATTTATATTTATGTAATACGCTTTAAACTAGGTCAATCTTTCTTCTTTGGCCTGGCCTTGTTCCTGTTTATTTGGAGTCGGCCCTTCTGGTCATCTTTCTCCAAGACAGTCTGTCCTGAGTCGTCTATAGTCTTAACTGTTGCTTTCGCAGATCTTTATTAATAAGGTATACCCACGTGAGGCGGGATCTACCACGTCCCTTGGGCTGGTTACTCATGTCAAAGACTCTCTAGCAACTTTTCCGGGATAGGCCTCACTTTAAAACTTCTGATATGAATATTTTTGACGTGGTCTAGTCTTGTAACGCCGCCCGCCCGTCTTAGAATTTTCATTACTGCGCTGTGTGTTCTATTTCTTGCAGCTTTTTGAGAGGGCAACATTCAGCAATGTACCTTATGGCCGGTCGTACTGCTGCTTTGTATACTCTGCCCTTAGTACGAACCGGCATTCGTGTATTGCAGAGCACGCCTGACAGCTCTTTCCATTTCTCCTACCCCGTGTTTATACGATGAGTAACGTCTGCGTCTGCTTTAAACTAGGTCAATATCTCCGTCTAATTTAAAAAATTCGTCTGCCGTCTGTGGCACTTATTCCCCGAACGCTATAACTTGGACCTTTTCAAGGCGAGAGTGAATAGGCATTATTTAAGTGTGCATGCTACATCGTCGACCTCATCATTACTTTCCATCAGGTAAGATGGAGGTCAAATGCGCACTTATTTTTAATAAAAAAAAATCGGAATAAAATGACATTTGCGGGGATGCCAGTTTTCATAAAATTTTAAATAGTCATGTGGTTGTTGTCGACAATTTTATCGATAGATTGAGGAAGCAAGTAAAATGTCACTTTACTACTAATTGCATTATTGCCTTCTACATTCTTATTTTGACAGTTGGCCTACTACTATCGAAATATTTTTTCATTTATATTTTAACAAGAACAGGCGGATTTCATTAACTATATTAAATTAAAATGAAAAACTTTAAAATATGTCTCCTCTTTATATTTTTAATAGATATAAGTTCTACGTGCAGCGTACGTATGTGTGAATACTTAACAAAAATAGACAATTCTAATGAACCGGAGCCCAATAGTTGGACGAATAATGAGCCGACGATGATTCAGGTGAAACAAGTGCGGCTATTTATTGCATAAACGTGACCAACATTCAATGGATAGTCGATTCGAGTCGAATATTTATCGGATTTTACTCCATCTTCAAAAAAGATAAGGCTGTTACACTGACCCTAGTGTATACAAAAAAAATCGTCTTTCATGCAAAACTGAAATATTTGCGTGGGCCTGAAGCGTGCAATTATACTTATTAAGTACATTTTAATGTACTTTGTTTTCAATGCTTTCCCATTTTAGTCTGCTGGGTATTAAGAGGATAATGTTTTCAAAGTTTCACTTCTTATTAGTTTTTAATAGTTAAATGTAGACCTTTGCTGCGTTGAGAAACGCCCTCTAGTTTCAACACGATTGATGGCCAACGTTTACTTGTCAGCTGTTGCAAATTAGTGCTGAAAAACAAACACTAAACAAACAAAAACAAAGTAAACACATCTTTTAATGAAACTTTGAGATACTTCAAAGAATATAATTTAATTACATTTTAACTATCTGCAAAAACGGAGTGTAGAAGATCTATGTTTCAGCAAATACGCTGATTAGTTAAAATTAACCTATCAGCATCAAGTTGTCAAAGTAATAGGTACTATCGGTTGCCGAAACACAGGTCTTATCTGGGTTTATACTGTAACTTATAACATACGGCTACCTCGAGTATTGCAATATTTATAGTAATCTTATTCACAACAATATTGTAAGTGAATTTTATACAAGATCATTCCAAAAACTGATTAAATATTAAGAGATTATGCAACGTATTAATGAGCAATAAAGTTGATTTTAAGTATTAAAATTGTATTTCAATTGTGTCGAATTAGTGATAATTTATTTTAAGGGAACTGTTACATTGAACGTATAAAAGTTTGATCCTATTTATGATATTAATAAAGCAAACTAAATTCAATAAAAAATATGTACAAATGGCGTAAAACCAATATAAAAAAAAAAAACAATTTAAGCGAAACTATTTCTGTCTCGTTACACTACTTCACATGCGACTTACTGGTCTGTTTCCAGTAGAGATCGGGAAGTCGCACAGTCGTTTTATGTCCATCGTGAGACTATGAGAATAGAAGTCCTGCTTCCGAAGTCATTCGCCATGTACATAACATAGTGACAAATATTTTCTGTAGACATTGGTAATGCGACATTTTTTCAAAATCGAGAAAATATAGCAGCGTTAAAAAATATTTTCCTCTCATTTAGAGGCGTATGTTAAAAATTTAATTCCGCGCCATCTATGAATAGCTCATAGTATTAAATTTATGTATTTGGTTTTGAAACGCGACTACAGTTGCGCGCGGCAGCGCCACTGTATTTCGTATCGATCCTTGTTATTTTTATCGCTTACTATATTTACATGTAAACAATAAGGGGCAGATATAAACAAAATAATTTATAAAACAAGCGGATGATGCATGCGCAAATTGTTTGACCTAAATTCAGTCATATTCATTCAGTCAAATTCAGTCGTATTCAATACACGATAGGCTGAATAACTTCTAGCCCGTGTCTTGTGTTTGTTTTTAGGAAATTAGCGCCAAAACATTGGTTTCCGGGATTGGTTTATTTGGAGAACTTTGATATAAATTTTGTTGTTTATTTTGTCTATTTATAGCAGTTCTAAAAGCAGCTTTAAATTTGTAGAGCTTTATGAATGCAAATAATAGAGCACCAATTTGTAATGTGTTCTCTTTTTAACGACTTTTGTTTAAATCTATCTACCTGTGCAAAAAATTTTGTTTAAAAATTACATTTTTATAATTACAGTTTTTACACAAATTAAAGTTTAAGTGTTATTACGTTTTGGGTTTCTTAATTACTTGTTACCTGTTTAAGCTGATGACTCTAATCTATAGCCTTGGAGCATATAGGACACCAGGCGCTGTTGGCGTTATTTCTCGAACAAAACTTTCTGCCACTTTTTGAGGGGCGGGTAATACTACAAGCAAATAAGTGCACTCAAATGCAATATTAAGTTGTGTCACTGTGGTCTCACACAAACAAAAATCGACAACACTAGCTTATTTTCACAAATACACAAATAAAACACACATACATGTCATGTCCATACACAGAATAGGCCTATAAAAAACGATTTTCATGAATTTATTCATGAAAAAAGTTATCGACGTGATGGTATCGATATGTATTACGTACTGGTTAATCACGTACCTATATGAAATGTGACTCCACTCTTGCCTAGACTGGATTCAGCGGATTTCTTTTCGCAATTTTGTATTCTTATTGTAATGTTCTATTATAATGCATAGCGCAAAACGGCGTGGAGCACTTGACGGGGTGAAGTCGCTAATGGAAAAAAAACATCGATTCGAAAGTAGTGTTCATTGTGTTTTTTACTTGTACCTTGACTGAGGGGACTGCGTATCGCGGACGATGATGATGCTCTAAATCTATAGCTAATGCTCAATTAATACCTAACTTAAAAATTAATTTACAAAAGTTCAAAAATATTATTTCACTGGTCGCAAATGCTTTTTTTATTCGGCTTTTGTAAAGTCAAAAGGAGGAAGATATCTTAGCATCCTTAATATCGCAAAAATGCAGTCAGACGTGAGCTCCGTAATAAAGGCACGTTTTAAAAATGAAAAAGGTTCTACAGCTCCGCGTACGTGAATGACACAAACCCATAGTTTAACCGTTTAGATCTTGCAGGTTGTCTTTTAAATTTATAAATAATATTTTTATAAATAATAAATTTATTTATCTGGATTACAGCCGAAAAATTATAGTTGTAAAGAAATTGCTGCTTGACTGGCTTTATTTTAGAATGAATTTTTTGTACAAACGATATGAAAACCTTTTGAAAAATGTATATCGTATAGTACATGTGTTATATTTAGTTCGTTAGATAAAAAGTACCTATTTTCATATATTTTTTTCTATCGCGAAAATTTTTAAAAACCGTGTTTTCACACTGCATGTATTCAATGCATATCCTCAATTTCATAATTTTTTCCAAAGTGATTTATTCAACACTTTTTATTGTTATGCGGAGTACATCAAAGCCATTTGAGGTAGTATAGACTCTTAACATAAGTATTTATTTCGTGTGTGTATCGACGACACTGTCAAAATACATCCCAG